TGTCCCCTTAGTATGTTGGCTCTTCACTCTGAAAGATATCAGAAGAAAACCATTATACTGAGATTTAGAAAATCTGGACAAATAAGTTTTCTGTGCTCTCTGGGATGCAGTTTCTTTGAGTTCTATGAATTGTGTTCTTCCAGGTTCCTAGGAACAAAATGGATACAGTCTTGTAGCATATGAATTCATAGAAACCTGTGTATCACCTTCAGGACACTCATTGTAATTGAAACTTAACACTGATTTCTAAGAATATCTGGGTAATATATGACCATATCTAAAATGTAAGATCTGGGAAAACAGTTGCCATGTCTGTCTTGTACATCTTTCTTTTCAATTCCTAAAACATAAATGATACATAGTTGCTCAAATCATATTTATTGGATGAATAAATAAATGAATTTTTATAAATAAGAATTTCAAAGAAAAATAAAATAGAGAAGATGTGTAGAGCCAAACTCCTAGATATATTTATCTCCTCAGGGAAGATCCTTATTCTGGTTCTCATGCCACTGAATATTAAGTGTAGCATTAAAAAATAGGTTGCATGGAATTTTAAAAAGTCAAAATGCTTTTGCATGGGGGAGGGGATCAGCTGAATACGAAATGACCCTTATTTCTCTTCTATTTCACTTACTTTTCTCATTTAAATGTCTTTGAAGTTGTCATACATTGTTTTCATAAAAATAAAGTGATTATGAAAAGCCTTTTAAATGATAAACATGACCATGAAAAGTAAAGTGCTATAAAGCAGTCATCTACTCCCTGAGCAGAATACCAGGAAATTAAACAAGAGAGAATAGGATGGCTTCTCTCTGCTTCACTGATTTTAATTGTAATTTGCTTAGGAAGTGGTAATTCTTGTTGCTGTATTTTGTTTTGTTTTCAGATTGGTAAGCCAAGAAATCAGTCATGTTGTACACAAATTCTGTATTAGCTCCCAAAATTTTACCACACTGAATATTAAGTGAATCATTAAGATAAAGATCTCTTGGAGGGGCTGTGGTTGTGGCCCGGTGGTAGAGCACCTATGTGTGAGGCACTGGGTTTGATTCTTGGCACTACATATAAATAAGTTAATTAAAGGTCCATTAACAACTAAAAATATATTTTTAAAAATCTCCTGGAAAGAAAACAATATGAATAAGTTGGAGAATCACTAGTGTTGAAATGTTCCTTAGTGTCCTGGATGAATAAACAAACGAAACATCCAAAACACAAGGGGGAAAAAAGAGAGATTTTGGTTTTCAGAGCAAAGAATACAGAGATTTAGCATACCACTTCTGACCTCCAACAACCAGTGTAGTTTCCCCTTTTAGTAATATTTTTCATGGTATTTTACTACTAACAAAAGCTGATCATTTACATTAGGGTTCACTCTTTATGTTCTACATTTTACAATTTTGACAAGTCTACAATTGCATGTATCTGTCATTACAGTACCACACAAATTTGCCTCATTGCCTGTGCTAATCTATCCATATCTCTTCCCTTCACCCAAGTTTTTGGCAACCACTAATCTTTTTGCTGTCTTCATAGTTTTACTTTTTCCAAAATGTCCCATAGTTGAAACCAAAATACATGTATGCTTTTCCTCAGTTGCTTTTTTTTCCACTTAGAAATGTGCTCTTAAGTTTCTTCCATGTCTTATTGTGGTTTGGTAGTTCATTTCTAAAAATCAACTAATAATATCCCATTGTCTGGACTCACTGCACATTGTTTATTGATTCACTTTTCTTTTACCTTCAACTATTGATAATAATGAATAAAGCCTCTGCACACATGCATTTTCTGTGTGAACACTTATTTTCAATTCATCATGGTAAATAGCAAGGTGCTTGATTTTTCAATTACATGGTAAGAGTATGTTTGGTTTTGTAAAAACCTGAGAAACTGTTTTCCACCATAGCTGCACCTTTTTGCATTCCCACCAGCAATGAATGAGCAATCCTGTTGTTTCACATCTTCAACAGTGTTTGGTGTTGTCAGTATTTTAAATTTCAGACATTTTAATTTGCTTTGATTTACAATTTTTTAAAAACTGAAAATATTTTCAAATTGAATCATGATGTATTACTGCAAGAAACAGATGTTGTTGTAGGTATTAAGCACTATACAGATTCAATGCAATCCCAACCAAAATCCCAATGGCATTTCTTATAGAAATAGAAAAATTAGTCATGATATTCATCTGGAATAATAAGAGACCCAGAATAGCCAAAGCAATCCTTAGCAAGAAGAGTGAAGCTGATAGCATTACTATTCCAGATCTAAAACTATACTACAAAGCAATAGTAACAAAAACAGCCTGGTATTGACACCAAAATAGACCTGTAGACCAATGGAACACAATAGAGGACACAGAGACTAACCCACATAATTTCAGTTATCTTCTACTGGACAAAGGCACCAAAAACGTACATTGGAGAAAAGAGAGTCTCTTCAACAAATGGCGCTAGGAAAACTGGAAATCCACACATAACAAAATGAAATTAAACCTCTATCTCTCACAATGCACAAAACTCTACTCAAAGTGAATCAAGAACCTAGAAATTAAACTAGAGTCAACATACCTTATATACAAACAAAGATATGAAAAATTGTGGTATATATGTGTATTAAGAAGTGTAATGCCAAAAAAGTACATGTATAATGGAATAAATTGATGTGAACATACTTTATATACATTAATGCTAGAAAAAATTGTGCTCTATGTGTGTAATAAGGATTGAAATGCATTCCACTGTTGCTGTGTATTTTAAAAAAATAATTTTAAAAATGTTGGGAAAAAAAGAATTAAGATCTTACTTAACTATCACTGATGTTTTTTACAGGATTAAAAATTAACCTTAGTTTGAAAACAATTTTATTCTGAGAAGTGAAAAATGAAAGAAATTAAACCAGAGTCTAATAGAAGAAAAAGTAGGCCTTAATCTCCATCATGCTGGACTAGGCCCCGACTTTCTTACTAAAACTCCTATAGTCCAAGTATTAAAACCAAGAATCAATTAATGAGATGGATTCAAACTAAAAAGCTTTCTCTCAGCAAAAGATATAATCAGTGAGGTGAATAGAGAGCTTAAAGAATGATTTACAATTTTATAATAACTTACCTTAAATGTCTTTTCATAAGATTACTTCCCAGCCCTTTATCTTCTTTTTGGTAAAATGTTCATTCAGACTTTTGCCCATTTTTAAATTGAAGTATTTGTTGATTTTTTAAGAGTTTTATGTAAATTTGGGATATTGGCACTTTATTAGACATACATTTTGCAGACTTTTCCTCCAGTCTGAACCTTGCCTTTTTCTTCTTTTAAATAATGCCTTTTGGTAATGCATTCTGCTGTCATTTATTTTTTTAAAAAAATCAATTAAAAAATAGAAGTAACAAAACTAAATGATAAAAAGTAATGCAGTTATCCTCACACATGCAAAAGTTTTTGGTTTTAATAAAGTTTGACTTATTTTTCTTTAACTCTTTAATATATTGTGTATTTGGTGTTGTGTCTAAAAGTTATTCAAAACATTACAAAACTCTTGACATATCATTTTTCATACATTCGATTCAAGTGGGTTATGAACTCCCATTTTTACCCCAAATACAGATTGCAGAATCACATCAATTACACATCCACATTTTTACATAATGCCATATTAGTAACTGTTGTATTCTGCTACATTTCCTATCCTCTACTATCCCCCCTCCCCTCCCCACCCATCTTCTCTCTCTACCCCATCTGTTGTAATTTAATTCTTTCTCTTGTTTTTTTTTTCCCTTCCCCTGACCTAGAGAAAAGTCTGGGTAATTCTGATATTGCAAACAATGGTGCTGCAATATCAGAATTACCCAGACTTTTCTCTACGTCATTTTTCTAGGAGTTTATGATTTTACATTTAGATTTGTAATTCATTTGATTTGTTTTGTGAGACATGTGAGACCTGTGTCTAGATTCATTTTTTTATAAGTATTATGCAATTGTTCCAGTATCATTTGTTAAAAAAGACTGTCCTTGGGGGCTGGGGATGTGGCTCAAGCGGTAGCGCGCTCGCCTGGCATGCGTGCGGCCCGGGTTCGATCCTCAGCACCACATACAAACAAAGATGTTGTGTCCACCGAGAACTAAAAAAATAAATAAATATTAAAAAAAAAAAAAAAGACTGTCCTTCTCCATTAAATTTTTTTTCTCCTTTATCCACAATCAGTTAATTATATCTATGAGGGTCTATGTCTGGGCCCTCTGTCCTGCTCATCTCTTTGTCTATTCTTTTTATGTCACCTTCTTGAGTATTAATGCTTTGCATTAATCTTGAAGTCAGATACTTCTAATCTTCTGACTATTTTTCCCCTTCAATATTGCATTTGCTAGTAAAATATATCCACAATATATCCTAAAGCTCTTCCTATAAATAAAAATACACATGGAATATTCATTCAAATCACAGAACTCCAGTTGTAACACAAGTGGCTCATCATTGATACTGGTAGCATATTTACTCCCTATCACAGGAATAGAAAGATTAATTAACCTTAATTATAACACATATATTTAAAAATCTAAAAGTCAATTTACTATGCTCTTTTAGGAGCTCAGTCATGAGGTCAGAGACACTTGCTTTTTTGAAGTGAGATTCTCCAGGCTAAACTGCTATACATCTGCTTATGGTAATCCTACAACGAACCCAGGTGGGAACTATTATCATCTTTCACATACATTGTTTTCTTCCAAAAAGTAAGATCAAAAATTTAATTACATTCACTGGCAATGCCAACATTCTGTGTACATCATCAATCTAAGAGCAAATAGACTTTATCGTGTTTCTGGTTCTCAGGAGAATTTCATCATCTTCCGTGGATCATTGGTTCTTAGAGAATATTCTTGTCATTCATTTCCTTGGAGACCAAACACCCACAAACAATGAGTCAAAATATTTCCTTGCTTAGAAAAGGCTGTTCATGTTATGGGGGTGAAAGGGAATCTTATAATTGCTCACCCAGTGTCATTAAGTTTCAGAGATCCAGTACACTATGGAAAGCCTCATCCCAAATTCATTCTTTCACAGGACAGCAAAGGTGAAGTTACTTTCCCAAAGTCATACAGTGACTTGGTGACACAGCTGGAGCATGAGGTAAGCATTGAGATGGCCAGAAGATGCTTTATTTTTTTTTCTTTTTCAATAATGTTCATTTGATTTTCAGTGTTCATCAATTACACTCCAACAAGATCAGCAGGGCACTGGATGGGGCATATTTTCCATAAAGCCAACTGTGTGAATTCATTTCACACTGAAAGAGAATAAGCAAACCAAGTTGGAGCAACAATTCTACTCCTTACAGCACTCAGGTAAGTGTACACTTAGGAAAAGCCACATTTCCTTAAAGTTTTCATTGTAAAATAGGGTTACTTATGGATATTTGCAAATTTGTAGTTCAATAGAGCTAGTTAGATCAAATACATGTGGATATTAGTTCACCCAATACAACTGGAGTTGGAGGAAACAAATTTACTCTTGCCTGTAACATGCAATGGATAGAACCACGGAAAGATGGCTCTTCTCTTTCTCTTTATTCCATCAATGTCATAAGATGTACCCAGAATATATCCCAAAGCTCTTTCTAGAAGTAAAATTGCCTGACAACAAACTCTCTTATTTGAATAACAGAACTTCAGAATCAACTTGAAAACCTTAACTTGGAGCATCAAATTCACTGTGCTTCCCTCTGTGACCTTGAACTGTGGCCACAAAATATGCATTTTTCTCCCCAGTTCTTGTTTATTCCACAGTAAACAACTACCTAATGCACATGCAGGCTGTTTCTAGCCCAGAAGTTACTTTCATTTTAAAAAATGTTTATTTTTTATTTGTAGTTGGACACAGTACCTTTATTTTATTTGTTTATTTTTATGTGGTACTGGAGATCCAACCCAGGCCCTTGCATATGGGAGGCAAGAGCTCTACTGATAAACCACAACCCCAGCCCCAGAAGTTACTTTCTTAGAACTCCTTTGAACCTTGGTGTTAGCAGCGTGGAGCATCCCAGCAGGCATTAGCCATGCAGAGGTCAGATGGATTTCCATCTCTAGCTGTAACTATGATGTATCCATTTATAGTAGACACTAGGGTGGTCTCTGAGGATAAAAATGGGGCAGCCTTTGTTGAGAGCCACAGTTTAGTTGGAATGATGCCTGGCATTTTGCTAGAGGGAATGGTTGAAAGGTGACCCTGCTCTGGGAATAGGGCAGCTCCAGGATTAGGGAGGATCCTGCTGCCTGGGGCACCCTCTACTTTGGAATTCCCATAGAGTTCTTGCAGAGTTCCAGGAGAATTGGCGCATGGAGGGAGTATATTCCCAGGCGTTGTGGAGGCTTGGTTATTTTGTACCCAGACAGACTGCGGCAGCCTTGAACTGTTCAGATACTTTCTAATCATTTTAAGATCATATAGTACATGCTCTTTATTTCTATACACCTTATAATATTCCTTGAGTAAAAGAAACTCAAATCTGACATGAAAAAAAATATATAATCCTCTTCTTTTGTTACATTTGATGATCAGGATTTCTTTTCTTTTGTCACACTAGTAATAAAACACCTTCCCACCATGGAAACAGAGCTTTCTTACTTTCTAAAGTTTCTTTTTTTTTTCCCCTTAGGTTTATACCCTGTTTCCTAGAGGAAAAGATCGATGCAACTTTTCAACCATGACTAAATTTGTCCTCCAGGGACTAACAAGACCAACCGGAACTCAAACTGCCCCTTTTTCTCCTGTTTCTAGTGGTCTATGGGATCACTGTAGTGGGAAACCTGGGTATGATCCTCCTAATCACTGTTGATTCCAAGCTCCAAATTCCCATGTACTTTTTTCTTGGTAATTTGTCATTCATAGATCTCGTCTATTCCTCAGTTGTTACCCCCAAACTGTTATGAAACTTTATACAGGAACAAATTGTTATCTCATATTCTGGATGCATGACACAGCTCTTTTTCTATTGCACATTTGCTATTGCTGAGGGCTATATGCTGGCAGCCATGGCATATGATAGATATGCAGCTGTCTGTAATCCACTGCTCTACAGTGTCACCATGTCCCAAAAGGCATGCAGCATACTGGTAACAGGGGTCTATATCATGGCATCTCTTGGAGCTGTAGCCCACACTTCCTCTATGATCAGGCTTTCTTTCCACGGGGAGAATGTCATCCACCATTACTTCTATGACATAATTCCCCTCTTACAGCTTTCCTGCTCTAGCACCTACTTTAATGAGCTTCTAGTGACACTCATGGGTGGATTTAATGTGTTGGCAACAACTGGGCCCATAGCCATTTCTTATACCTTCATACTCACCAACATTCTTCGAATACCCTCAAGTGAGAGCAGGTCCAAAGCCTTTAGTACCTGTGGCTCTCATTTGACAGCTGTTGGGGTCTTCTACGGATCCATCATGTTTATGTATTTCAAGCCAACATCCAGCCACAGCAGGGTCCAGGAGAAGGTGGCCTCTGTGTTCTATACCACAGTGATCCCTATGCTGAATACCTTGATCTACAGCTTAAGGAATAAGGATGTAAGATATGTTCTGAGCAAAGTAATGAGAAAGAGATGTGGCCTACTCCAGAGTTAGTGGACATAACCACTAAGGATCATGGTGGCCACTCGACCCCTTCTTTTTCTTAAAACTAACTTCCTTATTTCTTAAAATTAACATTCAATAATTTTCCCTTTTCCCATTTCCTCTAACAGTTGCCCAGTTTATGAAGTTTCTGCAAACACACACACACACACACACACACACACACACTACTATTTCTTGAGCCAACTATGCCAAAATGTAAGGAGTCATTGGTCTTTGATAAGCCTGGACATGTTTACTTAAAAATATTCTTCTGAATTAAATTTGCACATTCTAGTTCATTCCCTATTGAGAAAATCTGGAGTAGATTTTTTTTTCCTTTAGTTGGGGTGAGTTTGCATTCATCACCTTCTGTCTCACATAACTAGCTTTGTAACATTCAGTGTAAGTCTTACCAGATTAGGCTTAACACAGTAGTAATCTTAGCAATTAATCATAGGACAAATTCAAAAACTAGGTATATACTTTGCTAATTTGAAGTCTCCTTGTGGGTCCTCTCCCTTTTATTGTTCTGCTGTGTATCTTATGAAAATTAATCAGGGAATCAATTCCCAAATTAATGAACCTTCATAAAAACTTAAAAGCAGACATAAATAGCAAAATAATAAGTTCATAGCAGGCCAGGGAGGTTGTTTTCAGAAAGGAATATATATCCTAGCAAATTACGCAAGCAATTTGACCTTTAAAAAATTTAATTTCATAGGTGATAGATTTTCCTTAATCTCAAAGAGACTGAATCATGGGCATGCTCCTAGAAGGCAGCCTAACTAATTCTCTTCTGCTCCCCATTTCCTCCTACTCCATTTACAGATGTTATGTCCAGTGTGATAACTGTTTTCTTGTGGGAATGACTTACAGGGTAGGTAAGGATCATGCCAAACAACCTCATCCACTCAAGGCCTAAGTTTCCTGCTGTTCCTCTTCCAGCCTCCACTGCCGAAAGGGAAACTCCATTGGCAGGGCCCATGCTTTCCCATGGAGGAACTCATGGGATAACGTCTCTGTCCATGCATCCCACCCATTTCTCAATATTCTTTGTAAAAATAAGAATAACAATTTAAAAACTGATCAAGCTAAGCTCCTATACTTCTTCTTCATTTCTTTCTTATCTTAATAGCTTTATTGAGGCATAAGAGACAAATTAAATGTGTACAAATTGTATACATTAAATATATACAATTGGATAATTGTACACACAACACCATCACTACAGTCAATTTGGTGAATATATTCATCATCCTTAAATGTTTACTCATGCCCCTTGGTAATCTACCCCTGGATGCTTTCTGTTGCTATAAATTTGTTTTCATTTTCAAGAATTTCATACAAATTAAATCGTAGTAATTACTCTTTTGTATGGGGCTTATTTTACCGAGCATAGTTTATTTTAAATTTTGTCCATGTTGTTACATGTAACAATATCTACTATTATTGCAGTAACATTCCATGGTATGAGTACACCAAATTCATTTACCTAGTGGTGGACATTGGTTTTTGTCCAGCTTAAGGGCGGTGTACCAGTCTTTGTGACAGCATAGGCTTATATGCTTTTATTTCTCATGGATAAGCACATCAGAGTGGCCCATGTATTAGGTATACATTTATTGATTTAGAAACTGAAAACTGTTTTTCCAAAGTGGCTGCACCATTTTACATTCTCTATAACAATTTTTCAGGATGTCAATTTCTCCATTGTTTTTGAAACATTTGATGTAGTCACTCTTATTATTGTTAGGCTTAACTGCTCCATATAGTCTTTAGTGGTGTTTCATTGTGATTTTACTTGCATATTCCTTATGATTAATGATGCTAAGCTTCTTTTCTTAATGTTATATGGATCTTTTCAGTGAAAATATCTGTTCAAATATTTTGCATCTCTTTTTACTCTTTTTTACTATTATTTTGAAAGCTCTTTATATCTTTATATATTTTCTCTATATAAAGTCACTCATGAGATAACTGGTTTGAAATATTTTCTCCCTGTCTATGCATCATTTAAATTCTTTTTACATTCTGTTGAGAGGTAAAATTCACGATTTTAATCCAGTTCAGTCTATCAATATATTTTTGTATAGATTATTTATATCCTACACAGCTTTGCCTAAAACCAGGTAACAAAAATTGACTTAAATATCTTCTAGAGTTTTCACAAGTTCAGGTTATACATTTAGGTATATGACCTATTGGACATATGCTATGAAGTGCATATTCAAGTTCAATTTGTGCATAATATTATTTGTTTTCATACTCTTTGTTGTAAAGCCTTTTTTTTCACTGAATTGCCTTTTCATTGTTATCCAAAAAATATTTTCATAAATACTTGGATCTATTTCTGTATATTATAGCATTTTTATAATGTCTTTTTTGGGGGGAGGGGTGCAGTGAACTTTATGGATGGTATGTGACAGTAGGGCTCCCTAAGCCCCTCCCCATCTTCATGGGGTCTGGGATGGAAATTGGGAGGAGGGGAGATTCTCAGTGTATTGAGGGACTGAGTTAGGGGCAGGGACTCTTTAGCAGCTGAGGGCTTCTCTCTTCCTCTGTGTTCTTTCTGGGAAGGTGGTCGAGAGGCTCTTGCTCCTTGGAGGCCATGTGGACCATAAGATCCACCACCCTGTTGCTGTAGCCAAATTCATTTTTATACCAGGAAATGAGCTTGACAAAGTGGTGGTTGGGAGCAAGGCTGGCCCCAGCATTGAAGGTGGGAGAGTGAGTTATCACTGTTAAAGTCTTAGGAGATGACCTGGTCCTCCGTGTAGCCCTGGATGCCCTCTGTTTCCTGATTCACCACCTTCTTGATGTCATCATATTTGATCAGATTCACAAATGACACGTTGGGGTTAGGCACACGGAAAGCCATGGCAGAGAACTTCCCTTTCAGTCCAGGGATGACCTTTCCCACAGCCTTGGCAGAGTCAGTGGATGCAGGAATAATATTCTGGGCACTCCCAGAGCCATCATGCCACAGTTTCTCAAAGGGACCAGTATTCTGAGTAGCAGTGATGGCACAGATTGTGGTCATGAGTCCTTCCACAATGCCAAAGTTGTCATGGATAGCCTTGGCCAGGGGGAGCTAAGCATTTGGTGGCATAGGAGGCATTGCTGACAATCTTGGGGGAGTTGTCATATTTCTCATGGCTCACGCCCATCACAAACATGGGGGCATCAGCAAAAGGAACAGAGATGATGACCTTTGTGGCACTGCTCTTCAGATGAGCTCCAGCTTTCTTCATGGTAATGAAGACACTAGTGAGCTTCACACATATTCAGCACCAGCATCACCCTATTTGATATTGGTGGGATCTTACTCCTGGAAGATGGAGGTGGACTTTCCATTGACATCAAGCTTCCCATTCTCAGCCTTGACTGTGCCATTGAATTTACCCTGGGTAAAATCATATTGGAGCATGTAGACCATGTATTTGAGGCCAATGAAGGGGTCATTGATAGCAACAAGATCCACTTTGCCAGAATTGAAAGCAGCCCTGGTGACCAGGCATCCGTACGGCCAAATCTGTTCACTCTGAACTTCACCATCGTGTGTCATGGTCATGGCTGGCACTGCAAGAGAAGAGAGGATGTGGCTGTCTGTCAAACGGGGAGGATCATAGAGCCTATAATATGTCTTGATATTGGATTTTTTCTCTTTATTTTTCATCTTTTCCATGTTGTGATTATATTAGGTCTTTTGTTTTTCCATTAATATTTTGAGATCAGGATGTCAACTTTTACACACACACACACACACACACACACAGTCTGATTAATAATTTCTTATTGCATTGAATATAAAGATAAATTTGAAAAGAGTTGTCATCATTTGAATAATGAGATTTCTAAACCAGAGACCTAGTTTAAAATGCTGTAATATTTATTTAGGTCTCCCCTTAGCAATATTTTCAGTTTCCTTTTTTAGTGTAGAAATTCTTTTAAAAAATTGCATGGAAATGGAAGGAGACCCTCAGAGTTATACAAAAGTACATACAAGAGGAAGTGAGGGGAAAGGGAAAAATAATACAAGGGGGACAAATGAATGTCAGTAGAGGGGGCAGAGAGAGAAGAGGGGAGGGGAGGAGAGGGGAGGGGAGGGGAGGGGAGGGGGGATAGTAGAGGATAGGAAACGCAGCAGAACACAACAGACACTAGTATGTCAATATGTAAATCAATGGATGTGTAACTGATGTGATTCTGCAATCTGTATATGGGGTAAAAATGGGAGCTCATAACCCACTTGAATCAAAGTATGAAATAAGATACATCAAGAACTATGTAATGTTTTGAACAACCAACAATAAAAAATTAAAAAAAAAAAGATTTTGAACTCTTGGATCAAAAAAAAATGTTTTTTAAGGTATATTCTTATTTCTCACTTGCTTGATTCTCTATTACCTTATTTTTATTTCAATTTTGTTTTGCTCATTGTTATCAAAAAAACACATTAAATTTTTGTATAAAAATACTTCACCTGAAACTCCTACTAAATATATACACCATAGTAGATGTTCTGAGGCTTTGCTAAATTTTATGCAGACAATTTTACTTCCTTTCAGTGTCATTTTTCTTTTTCCTTATTGTAGCACCTGAAACTTCCAATAAAATATTGAATAGAAGTGATAAGTGCATATCTTTTTGACATTATTGATCTTAGAAAGAAATCATTCAGTTATTCACAAGTCTGATGTAAGTTTATCATAGAATTTTTATCAGATTTAGGAATTTCTCTTTTATTCCTGGTTTGTTGAGAATTTGGGACTTTTTAAATGAGAATATAAGGTTGTATTTTGTCAATGTTTCTTCTAAATTATTGAAATATGTTTTCTTTTTTAAAAAATATTGTTTATTACATTGATTATCAAAAGTTATAACTGTTAAATTCTTGGAAAAAACCCTACTTTGACTGTAAGGGTAAAAGAAATTGAAGTTAAAGTGTAAAAGACCGGGCATTGTAAAGTTTCTAAGCTGCAAGGCCTGAGTTAAAATGTAAAGGACCAGGTATTGTTAAGTTCCTATGCTACTCGCAAAACCTGAAATTCCTGTAGCTGTTAAGACAATACCTCCTGACCGCCTGGTTGTTTAATAACTTAGGGCCCTGTGCGATCTTACACGTAGGCATCGCAGGGCCTAAACCAATCAGTTTGAATGTACCTCCCCCTTTAGAACTGACCTATCACCCCCGCCGGCCTGTTCCCGCCAATGAATGAACTAATCATGTTTAGGAATTGTTGTTTGATTTTCCTGCAGTGTATGATGATTTGTTAAAGGAGACTGTGATGTATGTAAAGTCCCCGCCCTCCCCAAAAAGTGTACTTAAGCATTGCACAACCCCTGCTCTGGGCTCTGGGCTACTCTCCCTTCTTGAGTGAGCACGGAGCCCCAGCGAGCTAGAATGGATCCCCAATAGATCCCCTTCTGCAATTGCATGAGTCAGTCTCTTGGTGGTCTCTTCCTCTGACGCTTCGCCAGACCCTTACATGACATGATATGTTATCTTCCTAAGAGATTTGTTTTGTTTAGAATTTTGCATCTATTCAAGGGGGATATTTGTTTACAGTTTTCCATTATGTGATATCTTTGTCAGATTTTTAGTAACAGGGGTTGTTTAGCATTATAAAATGAGTTAGGAATTATTTCCTCTCCCTGAAAGTTCTTGAAGTGTTCATATAGAGTTGAAATTTCTGCTTCCTTAAATGGTTAATATCATTTACCAGAGAAATCTGCATCTGGATTTTCCCTTGTGTGAAGATTTTTCTGATTCAATTTAAAAAAATAATAATAAAATAAAAGGAAAAATCTAGGTTATGAATTTTCTCTAGAGTAAACTTAGGTAGTTTGTGGGTTTTTTGTGTATTTACCACTTATATTTAGGTTCTGGAATTTTGGGCATTTATGTTCATTCAAGCTTCATAATTTTTATCAATTAATTTATGATATTGGTAATTATGCTCCCTTTTTTCCTAATCGAACTTGTTATAGATGTATTGATTCTATTGATCTCAGAAAATAAAGTAAGTTTTTCTTTTCTGATTGATTTTGATTGATTTTTATTTAGTTGGGTTTAACTGAATCTTCTCCTGTTGATTTATTAAGTTATATTTCAGTTATTTCTGCTCTGTTCTTTATTATTTCCTTTCATCTGCTTCTTTGGATTTCATTTACTCTTATTTTTTTTTCAAGTTTTTAAGGTAGAGCTATATCAGTTATTTAAGATCATTGCAAATCTACAATTTCAAAAAAACAACAAAACCATCTGGGA